TTTAAAAAAGAATAGATAGTCATGACAATTACTAATTACTTTACTATTTGCAACCAGATTGGAAAATACATTTATACAAAAATAAGTTCCTATAACGTTATTGTAACACTACTTTTGCCAGCTAGATGCATTTTAGTTAATAGGATGTGTTATAAGAGATTATCTTATTTTCCAGTGACTTAGAGCGCAGTATCAGATCTCATTACATAACCCGTAATTGGAAGCGTCTGTCAAAAAGCAATATTATGTTTACCATATAAGGCGACACCAATATAATTTGTTGTTTTTCTAATAAAAAAAATTATGCTGAAGGAGAAAAAAAGATTAATACACACAGCTTTGATCAGGGAGTAAATTTAGTCAGATTCAATTTGCCTCTCACTGCATGATCTGTTTTCTCAACTTGATAAATTGTTGCAAAGAAATGTCTGTGAATCAAGGATTTAATTTGACATGGCCTGGCAGAGACATTTGAGTAGTTTGATTGATACCAAATTGTGGTAAAAACAAATTTAAAACCATTTTCTTATTGATGTATCTGTGATTTAATTTGTCTCGAGTCCTAGAGAGTCGGCAGTGATTGGAAGGGACAGTAGAGAGGACAGATCGCAGCACGCACCCACGCCACTCACACATTCCTGACTCCCACATCGCACGCCTCCAGCCAAATACATTCAGCTTTCATCCTTAAATATGGACAAAATAAGTGAAAGGTGCCCGTACCTTATGGCATCGTCATGTCATCCAACACAAACTGGGGAAGCCTGGCTCTCGGGTTGGTGGCTTATCCGTGCCAGTTCTCCCTCTCCATGGTCGGGTATATACGCCCGGCCTCTCAACTGGAAAGCCAGCAAAATATTTGATAATATTCCGGCTGGGTAAAAATAGCGTCATCCCCTCTGACCCCCTGACTGTTTGGCTTTTGGAGCATCTGGTGTCACATCTTCTACTGGTGGCTCCGGTCGGCGAGTGTGTATATAATCGAAATCGGTGCGAAAACCTCGTCAATCACCATTCAAGGTGCGCCCCTTTCTCCGAAGGGTGCTTCAAGACGTCTCGGCCTGAGCGGAATCGTTTGGCCGACGGGATAAGATACGGGAGAAAAGGAGCTTACACGCTAAGGATAATACAGCTTGTAAGGCGATATGAGGCTGGAAGGCCAGCCATGGGTTGCTGACATGCGAGGCATGCTGATGCTATTTCTAGTATTCCTCCATGCTGGAGAGAGTGGGGGAATCCGTGGCACATTGGTCCCACTGGGCTCAGGCCCTGCCTGCTGAATTTGAATAGCTTTGATGTGCTAACTGCCCGCCCACCAGAATGTCATTACGTCCAGTGGAGTGTGGAGATTAGGAAACCGAGCGAACTAACAACGTTGAAGGAACTGGCAGTGTAGAGCCTGGTATTACCTTGAAGAGGGTTTTTTGCTTGTGAGGCAACAACAATTCATTTCATTGGTTACTGGACAATTAAATTTTTTTTTGTAAAAAAAAACACAGGATATTGCAGACCTATATTCAGCCTGACTGAAAGGCTTTCAAATTGGTTTCACTTACTAGTATTTGGCTACACCAATTTATTTCATTGGTTCTAAGACATTTTTTAATAAAAAATGAGGATATTTCTATAATCTTTTGCTTGTAAGGCCACACTAAATTGCTTGGTTCTTAGAAATTATTTTGGAAAAAAAAGGATATTCTCGTATTAGTAAAGCTGGCTACACCAATTTATTTTATTGTTCTAAGACGTTTTTATTAAAAAAGAGGATATTCCAGTGTCTTCGGTTTGAGTGAAAGGTCTAGTGAGGGTTTTTTTGAGGCCATACTAGTTCATTCAACTGGTTTGATACATTTTATGATACAATAAAAAAACGTTTGCAAGAGGATAAAACATTCGTAACACTGCCAACCATCACATAAAAAAGAAAAACCTTATAGTGAATATACTAGTAGACAGATCTACTAGTAAATCAGTAATCTATAAGGCATTCAAAATTAACATATCCAGATGTTCAATTATACATTCTTGACAATGTGCCAATGATACTGCAATAAAGCAATCTAAATCTTTCATTCTGTTTTAAAAGCTTAAGAAGATCAACAAAATAACATTGTTCCTTCATGTACTTAAGTAGTATATTAGATTTGGAAAAAAGAACTGGTATGGTCTAGGGCTTGTAATAGAAAAGGATATGGTTGAGCGCGATTTTGAAAATAAATTTTGCACAGAAATAACCATGAAAGTCGGTAGCTTTGTAGCTCTATTTTTATGTAAGGTTGCCATGACTAAATCCTGCTCGCCGCCATGCATTTAGATGACTGATCAATGACAAAGTAGATAATATCACTGGTGCAGATGTTTCGGCTTATTAGTAATTATGAGATATCTATAATATAATATGAAATGGGGGACAGTGCATGTGAATTTTATTTTTAAATGCAACCATGTAATCTGGAAAAGATGATGCCATTGAACAATTACATAAATGCAGACACACCATTGTAAATTTTTCATCTCTAAAATTCTATTATCTTTCTTTGAGTTGTTTTTTTAGCTTTGATGGATTTTTCTAAAAATACCAGAGAGTAGGACCAGTACAAACTGAGTGATTGAACAAATCGGTCTTGTCTTATATATGCTGCTTGTTGATTTTTTACCGACAACTGGGCAGTTTATGTCAAACAATTTTTATAGCCTGGTTACAAAACCTATTTTAGCTGCAGAGTCTCTTCCATCTTCTGTAGACGGAGGGAATGAAAGATACTCAGCAGCTAACATAGGCTTGGTAACCAGGCTATGAAAATTGTTTGACTTAAACTGCCCATTTTAGCACAGTATAAAAGGATTAATAAAATGGCATCAACATTTTACCAACACCCCCATATATGCGCATCCTTCTGCTAGTCCATCTCTCCACTTTGAATAATTGCGGGTATAAATTGTGCCCCTAATATGTACACTGACACACAGCTGTATAAACACTGACCACTCTCATCATTTGGGTCACTGCCAGGTCCTTAGGTACCAATTGGTTGATCAAGTACAGTACATGTAATGTAGGGGCAATACAACTGGGCCCTACCAATGCAGTTCTTAGGTTCTCAGTATAAAGTTTGTATCGTTTAAAAATTTAGGTAGAGGTGAAAATGGAGTCAACTGGAAATTTGAATTAAATCTGCCCTCAGAAACAGTGTGAACCATTGATATGGACTTTCTCCGGATCCATTTTTTCAATGCATGAACCATTGCCAACAAATCAAATATGAATCTCACACACCCTTGTATAAGGCCATGTTGATTTGATTGACATCCCCTGGGAAACCCAAAACTGATGCGAGCATGCGAATAAAAAAAGTTTTAAAAAAAATTTGCTTTCATTATGAAATCTATGTGGTCATGAAGGTTCAACAAATGCCACAGAGTATGGTATGGGGAATAATCAAGGAGGTTAAAAACTTTTTTAACCTCCTTGGAATAATCTACTCTTCAAATTCATTTCTTTACATTTTCATCTTTTTCCTTTTATTTTGGCATTCTACGACATTGGTATGTCTTTTAAAATATTTTTTGCAATTTACGGTATGCATTTGCAACTGTTTTGTACGATTTACTGTATGGTTGAAAGCTTCTTTTTTTTTTTTGGAAATGGCCAAAAATTCATGTGTCTGAGGATTTCATCCATATAATCAAATCAACATGACCTAAACCACACACAGAAAGACAGACACACAAGTCAAGTATGTTTGCTGGAAAATTCCTTGAATACATTCAACTTGTAACGTTATACATTTAGCAGAATATAACATAAAAGAAAAGTAGTATAACAGTGAATAAAGACTGTCCACCCCCGTGTTCATGGTATTGACTAGCCGTCCCACCAAAGTTAAGGGTGACTGTACTGGTCTTAATTGGCCCGATCAATCTTACCTGTTCTCTTTGAGACGCTCCTTTAAAAATTCAAGACCTTTCTTTGGAAGACAAGGTTAGGTTTAGAATGTTTACGGATACATGGAACGGCAAAGGAAGGCAGGGGGTAGCGGAATGAAGCGGTGAGGATGAAAGTTGAAGTGGAGGGGGATCGAAACAAAAATAACGGTACACTTGATAATGAGTTGAAAACCGGGTCCGTATAGACACAGGGGAGACATAAAAGACACATTTGCGGGTGACAGACGTTGATGCCATGTTTGAATGAATCTGAACTTCTGAAGATCGACTTTTGGGTGGTAAAAACCCGGTGACGTCGGTGATGATAGTTGTTGTCCTCCCATCGCTATTGATTCCAGGAACGGATTGTATTGGGGTCATAGGTCTACGTGAGTCTCAGGGGGACTCAAAAGCGCCGCGTAGCGAAAGTTTTTATTACTGCAGGTAAAATTTATCGGTGATCATGACAAAAATATACACACAGACTGCACAGCAGCCGTACCAAGATATCGTAGGCGTAAATGGGGAGGCATCTCCCTGCCATCCCAAGTCTTCATCGGAAGATAACGAGGCTTGTATGAATTTTTTTTTTTTTTTATGACGATTTACCACATTTGTGGAAGGATTGACATAACAGGTGACTATCACCTCTTCAAAGATGTCACCCCCCCCAAAAAAAAAGTCGCATTTTAGATTTACTGAATAAGTAAGTGACATGTACACATGCAGGGCAACCTCACCATCCATCATGATCCATGCACAAACGCATCTGGCCTTGGTGCTGAACACGCACGCACGCACACAGGCTGATACACCTGTCTTTGGTGCGAAGTTTACAGAAGCTCTAAATAGGTTCGGACAGACAAAGGAAGGATAGCTTGAATTCAATAATCATTCCCTGGTACCAAGCGAGTAATCTAAGACATAATTCCCCTTCCACCCCCGTATGTCCCACGAAATGGAACATTCCAAGGGGAATCCCCCTTCCCAGCCGCCCGTCGTGGTACAAACAGAAACGCCCGCCTGGGGATTTCCACTTTCTCTCAGCGAATCGCGAACTCAACCGTCAGCCCCAACCAGTAGATATAAGGCGAATTTAACCTGCACCAGGCATCGGTGTTCTTCACTCAAAGTGATACAGAGAACAACGCAGATCGGACAAGTCTGAACAGGTGTGTATGGCCGACGATGTTACACGCATCGAGAAATTATGTAAACATTCAGTGTTAAAGTACTGTTGTCGATATGAAGGTTGTAGAATGTCTATACACGACAGGGCGACGGTGAGGTTAATAGGAGAGTTATGATTATTTGTCGACTAAACAGGTGTTCCTACGAACACAGAGGATCCTCTGTAAACATCGAACGAAAATCGAAGGGGAGGGGCGATCAGTCGCGGCATGCAAGTTCCAAAGCCATTTTTTATTCACATGTATTTATTGAGTATGAGGCAAAAAGCAAGAGTTGCTTATATGACACCTTCTACTCAAGAACATACAATGAGAATGAACACATTGACAAGATACATGCATACAAGATAAATACCAACAAGACAAGTTGGTGACCATTGTCAAAAGAACAAGTGATAGGTACATAATTTTATTTCTTTTCTATCTACTGTCTCTGTTATGAGGACTTAGGTGACCAGGTGGCCATTGCCTATAATTTGTGTATTCTTATATGGTTATAGTTATGTTTGTTGTATTCATCATTCATAACTTGTACAGGCACAAGCCCAAAACTGCCACGTCACCTTCAGGCAGGGGAATCCCATGACAGATGGGTTTTTCAGCGTCAGTGGGTTCCTGTTTCTGTGTTTGTTTGTGTGGAAACAGTATGACAAGGAGTTTCCTTGATATGACTTATCTGACTTGATTATCTGACCTGGGCTATAAGTCATATCATATGAGAACAACCACAGGAAGGTACAGTGTGCATGTGGTTTTCATCCCTTAGCATTTAGCTTAGGCCACAGCATGTAAATTTTATGGATGACATCCACCGCAGACTCCAAATCTAATGCGAGCGGGCAAAAAAAAAACAAGGCGGGCCCAGAAAACAAGATTCCTACAGTTTCAAATTTTGACATCATAAACCTTGTTAAAGAAGCAATGATACCTATATTGTGCTAAGTTTACTGCCAACTATTACAACATCCATTTGTCACTGAAACAACTTTAAAAATCATTTTACAAATGGGCTTTGATTCAGTGGAAACATACAAAAGGAATAAAATACATCACTGAATCAAAAACAAAACAATATATATATCTATCTTCATATTTATCTGCCATCCACATTCTGGCATGGCAAGACATGCCATTTTGCGCCATACTTGTTATACCATAGTATATATCATGTGTATTATTTGATTGTCCTGATGACTCTAAATACCTCAGGCGGAGTTGGATCAACATGTTTTCCCCTACTATTAAAATACGAATACGTTTGAATAGTTGAGGTTTAAACTGAAGCCCATGTCATCCTTACAACAGCAGGTGTAAAGACCCCCTATAAGATCTAGGGCTGCAGGGCCCTGCATACCGGGGACCTGGACATACTTATACTTTATTCATAAAAATCAACATAGCAGTAGTACATGGTACAACTGAATTGTGTTGACCTAACAAAAAGTAAACACGAGTCAACTTAGCAAAAGTACATTAGAGACATCACAACACTTACATTATACACAGAGGCACTAAGCCTTCATTTGGCTGTTGTATAGACGGATTGAGTAATGTAAGAATGTTAATGTAAGTCTGTTTGTTCTAGCCCTGGGTACCCTGATCCCCCCCGAGTTCCTGAGAGACATTCCCGTTCCTGCTGCTGGCCTCACGTCCGGTACCAAGTCATGCAGTGGATGCTCCGGGTTTAGCATGTTTTTGAGCAGTTTAACTGCCGCCAGTTCACGACGTTCCCTAAGAGTGGGAAGGATTCTGGACACGGCAGAAATGGCAGAACACAACTTGGCAGCTGGACACAAGTCCAGCGTTGGGAAAGGTGAGCCATACAAACTACTAACTACATGTGCTAGTAACTTATACAAGAAAAACACCTAAAATCATGAGCGATTCACGGTAAGAACTCAGTTCAGCCAAAACCAGTCATGCAGCATAACCTTCTTGGTGAAACAAGCAATTAATAACAAAAACCTAAACCTCCCTTATTCAAGGATCCAGTGGAAAGAGATATCATCCCTACCAGGGTCATCATTCAGAAGCGAAGAAGGTTAAACAAGACGAAATAAAGGTCAGTAGGTGGTCTTAGACACTTTTTAGTCTTCCATAAAACGTCTTTGAAGCGTTGCAACATGCAGACTTTCAAAAAATAATCAGTGGTCAAAAGTCCATCAAAACTCTGCATTCACTTTGTATTTAAACCATTTCTCTACAGAAACAACAGAACCCAGGCTCTCGTCACAGAGAGACTACAGAAAAGAGCGATGCTCAACTCAAAAACATCAAAGACAAAGAAGAAGACACTTACAGGTTTGTGACACATTTGTGCTTCACATATTATATGAAAGGAGAGTTTAACACTTTTTTTTATTAGACACTGTAAACAATCAAAAGAATGATTGAAATGTAGTATGTGCCATTAATAATGAATGCAGAGTTACATTTACATCTGTAATAACGTTTATCCTTTTTACGATGATCTATAGATACTTTGTTGGCAAATCAGCACATGTAAAAGTTTCAATACTAGTATTTTAAGTTTTGACCTGTACTCCATATCATCCTTCCAACAGCATATACAAAGATCACCTACAGGAGGGCAGCAGTGCCCTGCAGACAGGGGACCTGGACACAGCAGAAAAGCACTTTGCTGCTGCACTCAAGTCTGTGCATGGGAAAGGTGAGTCATACAAAAAAAACTTATCCAAAAAGCCTAAAAACAGTTCATAGCAAGACCTCGGTACAATCCAAATCATACATTTCACCTCTGTGTTTGGAGGGTTTGTTTTCTGTATATGTCTATCTGTTTGCTTGTGTTTCCAAAGTTAAGCTAGGCTATCAGGGACACTGACAGGATGTTAGGTCAAAGGTCCTAAAATGCGCCAGAGAAGATTGTGTAATTTGATCTCTTCAAGTTCCTACTTTACGCTTGTCCATTACATTATGCAAGTGGAACAATATTCGTAAACAGAAGCACAAAAAATTCGCAATTATGATGAATTGTCATTTCATACTATCGTCAACTAGAAGCTGTACTTGGGAACAATCTTACATCGTTTTATAGGTAATGGTAACAACTACAATTATGTCACAATGACAATTGTCACAATTGTACAGACATTCAAAAACAGCAAAAAATTCATAGCAAGTTTTTGTTACTGAGAAGTTACCTGATACGTTTATTTCATACAGCTGCAAAGTCAAGCAATGAGGCAGAGCCACTATCAAAGTTGAGTGATGTCTACCTGAGGAGAGGACAACAATCAAAGGACGGTTCTGATTTCACCAAGGCAGCAGCGCTCTGTAACGCAGCACTGGTAAGGTCAAAATCAGAAGACCAAGACAACATAAAACAAACAATCCAATTGATAACCCAATCATTCGTTAATCACGTGCTGGGTGTCAAACAGACAATAGAATTTGATGATGTAGAGAAACACAAAGAGATGTTGAAAGAAGATAGACACCAAGTTGAAAAAGAGATGGAAACAATTGAACAAGAAATCGATCCATATAGCCTTGACGATGATGACCCAAATATCAGAGAAGTGGAGAGGAAGAGAGCAGAAGCAATCAAAGCATTGTTTCAGACAATACTTCATCATCGAAGAACGTTTACAGTTGGCCTTGTAGATGAATGTATGGAGGTAATGGGTCCCCCTCCCTGTAAGTACGCCATGATAGGCCTGGGCTCACAAGCCACGGGATTAGTAACACCGTACTCTGATCTGGAATGTGCCATTTTAGTAGAGAAGGAAACAGTGAATAATGTCGCCTATTTCCGCAACCTCACTCATTATCTATACCTGAAAGTCATAAATCTGGGAGAAACCATTCTCCCGGTCATGGGGATCAAGTCTCTCAATGATTTCCACTCAGACGACCCACAAGACAACTGGTACTATGACTCTGTAACACCGCGCGGGTTTTCGTTCGATGCAGCCATGCCACATGCATGCAAGACTCCACTGGGCAGGGGGAAAACATGTGAACTCATACTCACACCAAGTAATATGACAAAACTTCTTAAAAAGGACGTAAAGTTCCATTTGAAGAAAGGCTACCATCTTGCTGTCGTCTTGGGGAATGTTTCTTTGATCGCAGGAGAGCAAAATTTACTTGAGGAATATAAGGCTTTATGGACTAGGAAACTTCGAGGAAACAATAGAAAAATCTCTTTGTTACTGGGAAATGCCATGTTAAGAGAGAACTCACAAAACTTTGAAAGACACGTGCCAAGTGCCAGTCTGTTTAATGTAAAGAAGGAAATCTATAGATTTTCTAGTATTGCTGTGTCGTGCTGGGCACTACTTCAAGGAATACAGCCGACAACAATCTGGGAGACCATTGACAAGATGCACATGAATGGTGTCATTAACACAGAGAACGCGCATCACTTGATGGTGCTGGTCAGTATCTCAGCAGAACTGAGGCTGCGGACGTACATGAATAATGGTGGTCAAGTGGAAAATATGTCAGCATTATCGTCAATGCCAAGAGAAACGGATTTAGAGGAGAAGTTGAGGAAAGTGTTTTACATTTCTAATGCAAAACAGCTCATGAGATACTATTACACAGCAATGCCTTTAAAGCAGTTTGTTTCAAAGATAACCGAGTTATTACAAGAGCCGTTAACTCTTTTTGACAACTCTTTGCAACTTAAGTCAAAGGTGTACAAAAGTCTTTGTGATAACCAAAACTTGAAGACATGCATGGAAGAGATTCTGTGTAACTACCTTTCAAAATATGGTGAGGCTTCCATACATCCTGACATTGCCGAATCACTTGATGAACTGGGTGAAGCATGTCGTAACATTGGTGATCCCAAAAAGGCCGTCAGCTATCATGAACAGTCACTACAGATGGAGCGGGTTATCCATGCTGAGAACACTGCACATCCTAAAATCGCCCAGTCACTTAACAACTTGGGTACCGCCTGGAGGAACCTTGGGGATGACAAAAAGGCTGTCAGCTGTCATGAACAGTCACTACAGATGATGCGGGTTATCTATGGTGAGGACACTGCACATCCGCACATCGCCGCGTCACTTAACAACTTGGGTAACGCCTGGAGGCACCTTGGTGATCACGAAAAGGCCGTCAGCTATCATGAACAGTCACTACAGATGAGGCGGGTTATCTATGGTGAGAACACTGCACATCCTGACATCGCCCAGTCACTTAACAACTTGGGTAACGCCTGGGGGGACCTTGGGGATTACAAAAAGGCTGTCAGCTATTATAAACAGTCACTACAGATGGAGCGGGTTATCTATGGTGAGAACACTCCTCATACTGACATTTCCGGGTCACTTAACAACTTGGGTAACGCCTGGAGGCACCTTGGTGATCACAAAAAGTCCCTCAGCTATCATGAACAGTCCCTACAGATGAGGCGGGTTATCTATGGTGAGAACACTGTACATCCTGACATCGCCGCGTCACTTAACAACTTGGGTAACACTTGGAAGAACCTTGGTGATCACGAAAAGGCCAACAGCTACTTTGATCAGGCAACAAAGATGAAGCAGAGGCTTTAAGTACATGCCGTATGCTGCATTTGTGTGCCCCTTGAGGATTTACGTGTAACATTTGGTATTCTAAATCTGTTCTGGAGTGCCGCTACAGATAGCAATCTTTAAAATAGTACAGGTATGACAATATGACGTTGGGACACATATCCTGTAAATGTCAAATTTACACTGTCTTAAATGAAGGATTCCCCTCTTCCTTAATTAACACATAAGAAAGTAGGTATCCCTTGATCAAGCAGTTACTCATTGGATGAATAATATTTTTATGTCACGCAATGTATGTACAAACTTCCACGAGACATTATGTTGTCAGCCTACTTGTGCCAGAGTCTACGTCTGTACGATCAAGTTTTGTACACAATACCTTGTGTGTGAGTAATAGACACATGAGAAAAAACTCCGTATGGGACCACTTGATTGAATATTTGAATTAACTGTAAATAAGATGATGTAAATAGATTCGTTAATGAAGCATATTTGACTGGTACTGACTCAGTGATTAGGTTGATATGTTGAATGAATGAACGAATGAATTAATGAATGAATGAATTAAGACCTTTATTTTGAAGATAAAAGTTGCCGACAGGTCACAACAAATTGGTGCATGTTTATAACGCTATTTTTCAGAATATCTGGGTTTTGCATGATTATATGAATGACTCGTACAACAGAAAATAATAGCAAAATACTGGCCTTTCTGTTTGTTGTTTACATTTGAATATCATTCATCAACACTAATGAAACTTTAAAAAAATAGATTTTTCACAGATAACTACGTTTGTTTGCTAAATTGTACAAATCACAAGTTAGTACTGATGTGTGATCAGTACTCCTATCCTTGGTGCTGATTGGTCATCGTCATTCCTATTCTCTGTGCTGATTGGACATTATGGACGCTATCCTTAGTGCTGGCTGTCAATCACCATTCCTGTCCTTGGTGCTGATTGGTCATCGCCATCCTTCTTCTCTGCGCTGATTGGACATCATGAACGCTATCCTTAGTGACGACTCTCCATCACGATCCCTCCCTATCCTTGGTGCTGATTGGTCGTCATCACCCCAGTTCTTGGTGCTGATTGGTGCTGAATCAAAATTCATTGTTTAAATATCAACCCCCTTTGTGTTGACTTCATATTTTTTTATCGTAGCATTTGGAGCTACAATAGGATGCCTAGACCTGTTTTTATTTTTTTTTCGCCCTGTCGCTTCATATTTTTATGAAAAAATCCGAGAACCAACAAATTAAATTGGCGTGGCCTAGATTTAACGTTATAAAGTTCAATGATAGGGAGAGCAAAATTGAGAATTTCGAATTCGTATTACTAAAAGATAAAAGCCATAATCAAATCATCGTACTTTTCAGACCTGCATGTGCGATGATTGCCTATTGGCTTGTCGGTTATCTTATGTTAAGGCCACACCAATTTAATTTGTTGGTTCTCGGATTCGCCTCTTCATTTTTTTCTGATTTGACAAAAAAAAAAAAAGATTCTGGTTCTGAATCAACTCAAAAATGCTCATATTTTGCCCCCAACAGTTGTGGAAAGTCCTAGGCCTTTTCTCCCTAGCTCTTGCAGTGTTTCCATCTATCATTGCAGTGGTTTGATTAAAAGTTCAAAATTCATTGTTTAAATATTAACACAACCTTTTGTGTTGACTTCATGGCTCCTATCATAGCATTTGGGGCTATAATAGGATGCCTAAACCTGTTTTTATTTATTTTTTTTTCGCCCTGTCGCTTCATGTTTTTTCTGACAAAATCCGAGAACCAACAAATTAAATTGGTGTGGCCTAACTTGATTATCGAATTCAAATTTTGCTCGTGGTGAGCAGGTGGCACCTGCAGCTGTGCGTGAAACACGCCGTTCATTTCCAACATGGCGAGCGTGCATGGGAGCCACGGAAGAACGAGCGGGTAAAATTTCCGCCTAGGAAGACGCGCCACGTCCGTTTTAGGCGGTAAAATTGTACTTCATATTGTCTTAGATACTCTCTGAACTGTTCTAGATAAATCTCAGTGAAGGAAAATGAAGCAAAAACAAAGAATTTCGGCGAGCGTGCATGGAAGCCACGGGAAGAACGAGCGGGTAAAATTTCCGCCCAGGAAGACGCGCCACGTCCACTTTTGGTGGTAAGTTGTACTTCATATTGTCTTCGGTACTCTCTGGACTATTGTACATAAATCTCACGGAAGGAAAATGAAGCAAAAACACAGAATTTCGGAGATATTGTTGCGTCAACTGTTGCCCACGAGTTAACGCTGCACTAAGAAGCTGTTGTGTGGTATCTCTCTCAACATTGATGAGAATTAGCTTCAAACACACGTCAATGAACACAATTCAGTGCGGTTTAAGTTAATGATTCTGAAACATGGATACACTTTGAAGTTAGCGCTGGTTTACGAAAAAAAATTTAAGGTGTACTTTGTAAATGATCCGCTGCGAGGCGCTTTTAGAATGTGCATCCACGTGACCCCTGACCTGAACAGCTTTGCTTGCGACGTGAGTTTGTTGATTTCTCTGTGTTTTGATCAGATTCTATGAGTTTGGTGTAAACAAACGTGTTCCGAGCCCAAGTGTAGACAGAAACGGCGCAATTTTGAAGAGGGTGACCTGGTCAAGGTGATAGATTTGGAAGGAGGAGAGACAGACGGTGGTAAAGTTCGATTGGGGAGGGGGGCGGTAACAGAGTTGTTTAATTTTTCATCAAAAGGCCGTATCCAGGGTAATAGTCTACGTCGTATAGTGGTCTGGAAGCAGGGAAGGTAAATTTGTCTGTAGAAAAAGATACCAAGAAGGTGTTTAGGTTTAAAGAATTGTAAAGGAGGTGGTGTTTTTGTCTGAGCAAGTCAGGACTTTTCCATTCCTTACTGCATGTTAACCAGTTGTTGAACGGTGATGTTTGAACGGCGAAAAGAGCTCTCGAACTTGACTTTGGTAACATCTGAGCGGAATTTTGATATATGTAAAACATGGACACATCGATGACAGAGTCAAGAAATTATACCTGTAGATTGTGAGACCAAGTGAAGCTGTCATTTTGTTCCAGGTTCTGAACTGTAATATACCATTCAAGGAACTTCAAACCAGAGGTAACGGGGGGTGCCCTAATTCCGACCTATGTTCCATGCAAACGCACATACCTTTGTTAATAGTTTATCTGACCAAAAATCCGCGCAACATGAGATATAATATTGACAGATAAAGATCACAACAATTAAAGCTGCACAGCTGTATATTTCACTTCGGCTTGCCTTGCACCCAAGCGTAATGGCTCACAAAACGCACTGCAGTTTTTTGGTCATTTTGCCGGTGGAACGTTCTATCACAAAAGGGGTGCCCTAATTCCGACTTACTGTTTAACACAGGTCGATCTGAGAAGAGAGTTTAGAAATTATAATACATAAATTATGACTAAAACAAATCTACAACTGTTTTTCTGTCCCAAACAAGTCCTCTTTTTACGATTACGCGACTTGCTCCGAAGTGGCTGTTTGAAAAACAAAACCTGCATTTTTGACACGCTTGTCAACCTCCGAACAAGCGTCGAATTCACACAGATTTTTCACTCGTCTGTTGTCGGAGTGTAGGAACTAAAACAAACTTTGTGAGATTACCGATATCAACACAAAAACATTGTCCATTCTTGTGATTATTTTTAGGCACGTGCTCCCATGCATAACGCCGCAACTAGGATTTTTCAAACTAGTTCGGTATTAGGGATTGGTCGGAATTAGGGCACCCCCCGTTAATGTTTTTAAATTCAAGTTCACAATTAATCTACCATTCCAACAAAGTATTCTAAACACTACAGTAGCATGACTGTACCAGTTGAAATCTGTTGTTCATGTTGGTGGACTATTATGTCCTTGCTCCAGACTAAGTTTTTTTTCTTTTTATATAGTTAGGTGTATCCAGAAGAGTAGCAGTGCAGTTGTACCTGTCTCCACCAGATGAGGCAAGATACCACAAGTGACAAGATAAAGGACTATCAGGTGAGAGAAATCTGCATTCTTCACTTTTCTACCACTAATTCAGTGTTACATCTTTGCCCCAGACTAACATAACTTTCTGCATAGTTAGGTGTATCCTGAAGAGCAGCAGGTTAGTTGTTCCTGTCTCCAACTGATGAAACTTGACAAGATACCACAGGATACAGGAGTATCAGGTGAGAGAAATCTGCATTCTTCACTTTTCTGCTGGTTATTCATCAGTGTTACTGTGTGTAACATCTTTGACCCAGACTAACTTTTCTTTCTACATAGTTAGGTGTATCCTGAAGAGTAGCAGTGCAGTTGTACCTGTCTCCACCAGATGAGACCTGACAAGACACCAAAGGATTCAGGTGAGAGAAATCTGAATTCTTCAGTTTCTCTGTCAGTTATTCAGTGTTATGTCTTTTCTCCAGACTAACTTTTCTTTCTACGTTAGGTGTATCCTGAAGAGCAGCAGTGCAGTTGTACCTGTCTCCACCAGATGAGACCTGATAAGACGCCACAGGACACAGGAGTATCAGGTGAGAGAAATCTGCAGTCTTCAGTTTCTCTATCAGTTATTTAGTGTTCTGTCTTTTCTCTAGACTAACATATTCTTTCTACATACATTTAATTGTAGTATCCTGAAGAGTAGCAGTGCAGTTGTACCTGTCTCCACAGGACGAGACCTGACAAGACACCACAGGACACAGGAGTATCAGGTGAGAGAAATCTGCATTCTTAACTTTTGTACCAGTTATGTCGCATTACATCTTTGCCCCAGACTAACATATTCTTTCTACATACGTGTAGTATCCTCAAGAGTAGCAGTGCAGGTGTACCTGTCTCCACCAGATGAGACTTGACAAGACACCACAGGATACAGGAGTATCAGGTGAGAGAAATCTGCATTCTTAACTTTTTTATCAGTTATACACCTATTTGCTCCAGTCTAACTCTTTCTACATAGTTAGGTGTATCCTGAATAGTAGCAGTCAGAGGTGTGTCCTGATAGCCAGATGTGCAGGGATTCTTTTTAGACTGGTGCATAGCCACTTATTTATGTTAGTTAGAAGACTGCTGACTCCTGAAAACCTTTCCAGACCAGTCTTTGAGTAAAATCAGGGTTTTAATGTTGAGAAGAAATATAAATTGAATGT